ATAGGTAAGTATTAAAACATATAATTAAAATGTGAGAAAGAAAGATTTTTTCTTTTTATATCTATTTAAAACGTACCTAGCGACGAACCCGAGCGAAGCGTGGGTGAGCCGCTAGTTAAAAATAAATAGGTAATAAACATAACACAACAACGTTAAAACTTTTTAAACAATGATTGGTTACAAGATTTTTAATTTTGGTATTTTTTTAATTTGAGGCAATATATTATAGTGGAATCTATATTTATATATTTTGCTTTTTAATCAACTCCTTTTTCTATATTGTATAAATTTAAAACAGTTTCCAAACGTTTTCTATTAAATAACCTTACATTAAATTTTTTTAAAGGCAGTGGTAGGCCAGTGGTAACGTGCTCGCTTGGGAAACTGAGTAATGCGAGTTCAACTCTCACACCTCTGATATTTTCATTTGCGAATCATTTCTAACATGATTACCACTGGCCTTACAGGGAAGGAAAACATCGTGAGGAAACCTGCATGTCTAAGATAACATAACATGTGAAGTTCGCCAATCCGCACCGGGCACGTGGGACGTTAAAAAAAGGGCTGACTAGATAGATAAATAGACATGAATTTTAAATGGCTTTGTTTTCCAAGTTTGAAGCGATAAGCAAGATGCCTTGTTTAATGACTAAACTGTTCTTGCACAAAAGGTTGCGGGCAGTTCGATCCGGCAGCGTTGATATTTCGCTTAGTTACAATTTTCAGATTCGGCTTAGTTACAATTTTATTATATTTATAGATTCTAACTGAGTCGAATCAGTAAATTAAATATTTTTAGGAAAATCTTATTGAAATAGTCATTATTATCAAAATAGAGGCCGAATCTATAGTTTTTAGAATCTTCGTCTGTCTCCCCGTCTGTTTGTAACTGCATTACGAGAAAACTACTGGACAGACTTTGATGAGGTATAATGATAGCTGGTTATCCGGGTCAACATATAGAATACTTTTTACTGCAGGAAAATATCTCATCTCTGAGAAATCTGTACTAAACGTAAAAACAAAACTAGGGACGAACCCGAGCAGAGCGAGGTTAAGCCGCTAGTTTAATAATCAAACCCAGCTTTCAGGTATCTACTGCCGACTTGCCGACTTCTCATTGAATGCTCGGCAGTCCACATTCGTTTTCGTAATAGACAAAGGAGAGCACTTCAATTATTTATTTTTTTGCATTGAGGTCCAAAAGGGCTTTGTTAAGCCACTGAACACTGGCGCACCTTTTTTAAAATAATTATTCTTTATTCTTTTTAAAAAAATATTTTCCATCACAAATTTTTTTTTTAAATACAAGTATATAATGTATATATCTTTAAAACTCCTTGGAATTGTTATTACGCATAATAACAACAACCAATTTAGGGAAATAGCTGTTTAAAAACACGACTCCTAAACGTTAACTCGTTCAGGTAGTAGCATTTTGGCCTACATTTAATATTATAGGCTCATTTTACATTTACTTTTGCTTAGTGTAATGGTTATGGTGTCAATTTAAGAAAATTGTTTGTAAACAAGAAATAGTATTTAAAAAAAATTAAGAATAACGTTCCAAAATTAACTGATAATAAGTCATATAATATATGTTTCAATCTCATATATTTATCTATTTTTAAAGCATTTTTCCCTGTGTAAGTAGTTAAATTTTAACCCCTCCACGACCGCGGACACGCCGGCGTTACAGTTAACAATAGATTTCTTAGTTTAATTAAATTCTTAGAAATTTACCTGGAGGTTTTAATTTTATAGTAAAACTATCCGCCACATGTACATAGATTAAAGGAAAACGAAAAATGAAAAAAAGGCAGTTTAAGGATTAAGTAATGAGCAATCAGGGAATTTCACAATTGTTGTTTTTGTTTTTTTTTTGTTTCTTTTGTACTGGTAACAAATCTATGACTATGGTAATTGCATTGCCAACCATTAATATCCGTCGAGTGTTTTTATAAATACTCAACGGATTCTATCTATCTATGCCCAAAGAGAAAAGAACTGATAATGTCCATGAGAAGGACGATTGTCCAAAAATCTACATAGCAAAAAGTCACTGCATACTTTGATCTCAATAAAAATATTATACTTCTAAACTTTAAATTACTTTTTTCTCATAGTTTACTCATTAGATAATCCCTGTTCTTTGCCTGATCCGTTCACATAATGTTTTCCTTCACCGTAAAGCAAGTGGTAATCATGTTAAAGCCATTACGTTACTTTAACGAGCGCTTTACCACTCAGCTACTACGGCCTACTTTAAAATTTATCGTAACTTATTATTTGAATAAGACAGTCTTGATGTAGGTACATTTCAATAATACAAGAAAATTACATAATTTTCAATAGAATAATTTTTACTTCCTTAAATATTAAAATTGTTGTTAACGTTTTTTTTTAGTGTAATAAATAGATAACAATGTGCACCGATAAGTTGAAATAATAAGGATAAAATTTGATATAAATTACTTACCTCTGATATAAATTCCCTAGCACCGGATTATTCGTTTAATCTGAATAAAGTAGCTACTGGTAAGTGTTCACCGTGGTGGGGGGAATTACCAGCGTCCGACAGTCCAGCCGGACGTGACGCCAAGAAACACACTAGAACGGGTTCCTCCTGGTACTTCTCTGAGTTCAAGTGTTTGTTGTTGTGGTCTACCGGCCAGCTCATTAGCTCCATTGAGTGTCATGTTTTAGTGCAAAAGTGATCCCGCAACGCCCCATTAAGACGGATGTTCCGTTGGGTTTCAGTTTATAGTATTAGGCACTGGCTTTTCTAGCATCTCTCTAGTCTCCATATAATCACCTGTATGAATGAAAGAGATATGTAAATTCTTCAACGTTAAAAAAAGTACCTATAGATTGGTAAAAACGCTGAAATGCTTTAGCTAAAACTTATCTCATAAATATTTCTGCTAACTAAAATATTAATAGATCAGTTAACAGCATTACCTACTATTAAGTGTCTTAAGTAAATAAACATTTTCATGTATTACGGTTTGTCTTTACTTTTTTTTTGGAAATTAATTAAGTACTTTAAGTATGCTTTGTCATAAGGAGTACAAAAATGATCCGCCATTTTAATATTGGGTCAGCGAGAAAAATTTTACAATTAAATAAAACAACTATATTATTAGGTACTATATATTAGGTACTTATTAATTTAGTCGGCAGTGAAATCAAGTTCAATACTTGGTTAGTAAATAAACTAACTGCTGTAGACATAAAGTTAATTAGCAAACTAAAATGAATTTTACAAGTTGCTAAAAGTTAAATTAAATCTGAATTACGGTTTTGCTTTTTTTATATTTTTGTTAATATTACAGCACATATTTTATAGTAGATATTTGTTATAATATGAAGCTAATTTTAGATTTGCTCTATATTCTGATATTTATGTTGATCAACTTTATCACTTTTGCTAACACAAAATATTTCTACAACAAATTGATTTTAAAAGTAAGTTTTATTTGAACATTTGAAAAAAAACTCCATCTTACGAAATAACGGCAAAGTCTTCCTGAAATAGGAAAAACACGTAGGTACAATCTTAACTTACAAAGTCTCTCTATATTCCATAGATGGCATTTTAATACACGAAAATATAATATTAAGTTACTTATATACTATATTACTATTTTAAAATTACTGCAGCAAGAGTTTGAAATTCAATTACCTCACAATACGATACCATTTTACAGGAAAAAAGATATGTGTAGAAAATAAGGATTACGGAAATTGTTTACTTCCTCTCCATTAACACTGGAGGCGCCACCGTCGATTGGACTTTCCGCATGCGTATTGAACTCTTTTTTTTTTACGTCCCTGAATTTCATGAATGGCGCTAGTCCACAACCTGTCGTCTGTACACTAATAAAAATTATTATTTTATGTTTGAAAATGTTACATCAAATCGATTTCAGGAACAGTGACGAAGTAATTAGGTAGTGCGACTGACACGACGTTCCCCCCAAATTTTGACAATAAAAACGTAAGTAACTTTTATTTTTTTTAAAAGTCATCTCAAAAATAGGCTATAATTAGCACAATGCGGAAATAGAAAAATCCTTTGTTTCTAAATCATTTTTCAACAATTTAAATGAGACTAATTATAATAAAACAAAACTGCGGTAATTTTATTGATTTGACACTTTACCCCAATTCAATGTTGTGAATCGTTTCTATGCGAACTTTTTATGTAAGACATCAATTTAATGAGTATCGGAAAGTATTCATAGCATACTGCGGCCAAATCACCATTCTATATAAGTAGGTAACTGAGGCATGTATTTAACCTATTTGACACAATCTTTTAATATTTGAAGGAAGAACACAGAAATCAAAAATAGTAATTATATATTTCTCTTTAAAATTAATAACTTTATTATGATAGGATTTATAGTTTTGTCACGGTTATGTTATAGATAACTTTGCCGTGGTTCTGTATTGACAAGTTTAATAAATTATCATAAATTAATTATTACTACACAATGTTTATTCTGTGTAACGATTAAATAACCAATTTTATGTACAAAGTACTCATATAAATACTTTTGTCAGCAAATTGATAGAAAAATTACAAAATTATGGCACTAGTCTAAAATTTGTAGAGCAAGTGCGCTCGTTGTCTGCTTAAGTCATTAATACTTAATGACTACGTTTGCAATGCTATTTCTTTGCCTTTTACTTCTTAACAACATGTGAAGTAGATCTCGGTCAAGGGCTAGAAGTCTATACAATATTTTTTACGTACCTATACATACATATTACAAAAATATTATAACCTATTTATATTGTTTTGGTCATATTTTAAAACTAATTTAAGGTTAAATTCAAATGAGTAGTTATATTTTATCATTACAACAGTAAAAGCAATAAAATATATTGTTATAGTATAATAAATATGTATTATAATAACACATAAAGTAGATAATAAAACAAAATTACTAAATTTTATAAACTTTTTTCATACTAATATTTTAGTTATCACAATGTCGAGTAGCCCTTTTCCGTATACATGTGAGCTATGTGGTGCAGAAGGCCTTACAGACGAAGGCATGAGGTCGCATACTCTCGAAGCGCATGTAGCAGGGCGACCAGATTGCCCCTTTTGCGATTGTACAGTGCCTCAACCACAGTTAGTGGGGCACGTACAAAGAGCACATTTACATTATTTGACACCTGAAAGGGAGCTAATGGCATTTATTGATGATCAAAGCCCAAGGTAGTGTATTTATATTACAAAATGTTATAGAGTAAGATGATTCATAAGAATATTCACAGTACCTACCTACGATTTTATATTTTTATCATAATTTTCGACATATAGTTATGATTTAATTCTAATATTATCTACTAGCGACTCACTCTCGCTTCGCTCGGGTTCGTCCTTAGGTACGTTTTAACGGTTAGTATAAAATACAAATCATTGAATTTCTCGGTTTTTCTGTACTATCATATGCATGTATTATACATATATAAACCTTTCTCTTGAATCTATTGCTGAAAACTGCAATAAAATCAGTTGAATAGTTTTAAAGATCTAAGCGAACAGATAGCGGAAGCGACTTTATTTTATACTATGTGAAGATATATGTATTTTTCAAAATTTAAATATTACGGCAACAGATTTGTCTAATGTTACTAAAAATGCTGTTGCAGCTTTGAGGATGACTCTAAAATGACAACAACAGATAGTTGTAGCTATAACACTCCAGGGTCAATTAACGGCTGGCATAGCCCAGATACGGCTACGTCCTACCATAATGGTGCCATATCAAAAACTTATTATAATGGCTTTCAAGAAAAAGAATATCATAGGAGTGAAAGAGATGACGAAAAGTATTCACGATCACCTAAAAACATTAATCTAACTAATGGATTAAAAAATATTAATATAAATAATGGTGTTATTCCGAAAAAGAAATGCAGTAGAGAGAATTCCATCGAGCGAGATATGATCAATGGACGTGATAATAAAGGTAAAAAGTTAACCAAAATAAATAGGTACGTAGTGTAAAAGTCTTAAGCCACATATATATATATATTGACACATTACAAAAATGAGCAATAATATAAATTAATACCTACATAACATAATACAATTCATTGTATATTACGCATTTTTTTATTATTTTTGCTTATAATATAATAAATTAATAAATAATAAAAATATATTTGATCTTAAATCTATCGTTTATATTATATATTTTTATTATTAATACGATTTTAATTCTGATTAGATGTATTTTTTAAATATTGTAAATTCATATTGATTTATTTTGCAGCTGTACATTCCAGTTCAAATCATAATAGTAATGATAATTCTCCAAATAAAAATAAGGTAATTTTTATACGTCATTGTTAAATTGTAAGATATAATATATTTTGAACATATTATATTATATTTTAGCTATCGATGGCAAGTGCTGGTCAAGGGTCCCCTCTAAGATCACAATTAGCCCTTAAACTTAAATCTAATACGCCTAAGAAATCTGCACCTACACCCAGTCCTACAGTACAGGTATTTATATTACAGCATCCTTTCTGTCTATGGCATAAATTAATACACCTGTAGTTACAAAAAAATTATGTTAAAAGCTGCGTTGACACGCTGAAAGTCTGCTTTGGCCTTTGACAAAATAGCTTTGACAAAAGGCCTAGAAACGAAGTTCACTTTGATAAAGTCTACTTTGATTGCTCATTTACACGATCAAAGTAGTCATCAAAACTACTCTGTCAAAGCAGGCTTTGAGAAAGAAGAACACGGTCCGATTCCACTTCGATTAACGTCCACATCAAGGTGCGCTTTGATTGATCGTTTACATGATCAAAGCTGCGTCAAAGATACAGAACAATTTTACTCGGGAGGTCAAAGTACTCGTCAAAATTACTTTGTCAAAGTAGACTTTGAACATGTCAACGCGGCTTTAGGCTGAATATTAGAAATCATAGGTTTCTCAATTTAAAAGTAAATTTGACATTGACGTTTACAATATGAATTGTCAATTTTTTTTACAAATTCAAATAAATAGCGAGTGCTGGCGCCAAAATAATTTAAAACATTTAAATTATAATTTTATACATTTAAATACGTCTATTTCTTAAAATAAAACATTACAGAATCTTTTAAAATAAATCATTTACAGTGTCTTCTATGCGACTTTACTTCAACATGTCCACGAAAGTTAGAAGAGCACATAAACAGAGCTCATTTCGACCTTACTTCACCATCAGTATTGGGGAACGTTAATGATAACTCCAATATTACCAACAACCCAACGTTGGGTTTAACAAATGCAACTTTAACCCTAGATAATCCAACGTTAGCTTTAACTGCAATGGCTATGTCTCCTGGACCTCATACTTCCTCCTATCAGTGCCCAATTTGTGAGCGCGAGTTCTCAAATGCGACAGAAGTAGAAGTACATGTTAATGTTGAACATAAAGATATTTTGAGCCCTCAGAAATCTGTAAGTATCAATAATATACTAATTATTATTTAGATAAGACTTTGCTGTGTTTTTTTTTCATTATTATCACTATATATGGAATATATCTTAACAATAATGTTATATACTTCAATGGAAATTCTTATTAGAATATAATAAATATCAAAAAGCAAAACAAAAACACTATTTTCATTCCATAATTTATATACTTACTTTATCTTACAGGACCAAATGGATAATGCGTCATGTGATGATGTAGTGATGATGGAAGAGAGTCCTGTCAGTAACTGTCCTGTTTGCTGCCAGCCATTGCCTTTATCTCAGCATGAATTGGTATTACTAAAATATACTCTAATATTATTTCTAAATAAAAAATAAATCGAAAGAAAGAAATTAGGGGCTGATTCATTATTGTCTAATTTGACAATTGGATCTTAAAGACTAAAATTTTAACTGTATATCTGTCTATAACTATAAGGATAACTGGTAAAGCTAGGTCATAGTTGATTTAATTCTTTAGAATAATTGAACTATTTTAGTTACTTGAAAACTAGTTTTAGTTCAATTTATATAGTGAATAGTGCCATAATAAAAAAATTAAAATACCATTAGTGATCATATATTTTATCTTAATAGATTCAACATATAGAAGAACATTTTGAAAGAGGTGAAGACAGTGGGTCAGCAACTTTAACAGCTGCTGAAAGAGAAGCTCAAAGAAATAGAGAGGAACACGAATTCCAATTACTTAGGGTGAGACATTTATATAAACTGTACACAAAAATAAATATCAACTATAAAAAAAATTACACCAGTATAAAGTCCTCAATATAACATTTTTAGAACTAGATCTCATGCTGTATAAAAATATGCTCTAAAAATATTATTTTCTACTTTTAAATCTGAACATGTATGTGTGTTAATGTGTAATTAAAATCGAAATCAATTTATTTTTAATATAATAACCAAAAGAAACATACATTTTTTTTAATTATTTTTCGTAATTCCCAAACATAATAGTATATCTTTATCAATGCATCTATACAGATAAATAAAATTCATGTATCTGTTTGTAATGTCAAAATAACAACTTTTTACTAAATAAATATGAAATTATATACAGTACTTATAAGAAAAACTCAATTTTTAAAATTTTTGTCTGTCTGTTTGTTCTGGCTAATCTATGAAAAGGCTGGACTGATTTTGATGGGACTTTCACTGGCAGATAGCTAATGTTATGAGGAGTAACTTAGGCTATTTTTATTTAAAAAAAAATTATGCTGCTCAAAAAAATTAAAACTTACCTAGGGACAAAACGAGTTTATAACAAGACCTTTAATAGTATCTTTGTACTGTATTTAATAAAAAAAATATATTTATAAAGGCCCAATATGGTATGGAAGAAGATGAAGAAGGTTACACAAGTAGAGCAGCTTCAAGTTTGAAGCGAGCGGTGTACAGTGGAGCCCTCTCCGTAGCTGGATATTACGAACGCAGTGTAGGTCTCCGTAAGGCCACTGCTCAGGGATTAGATGCAGGATGTTCGAAGACTAATGGCAAGTTTTAAGTTTTGTTGGTGGTTTTATGGTGTATAAATCTATATTTAACATATCAACTCTGCCTCTTTATAGAATATATTATATAAAGAGGCAATGTTTGTTTGTTTGAACGCCATAATCTCAGGAACTACTAAACTGATTTAAAAAAATCTTTTTGCATTATATAGCCTGTTTATTGAGAAAGGCTATAGGTTATATATCATTATGCCCATACCCAAGGGAGCGTAGCAATAATAAAATATATATAGTCTGTCTATCCCATACTTACTGTTAAAATGTACCTAGAGACGAACCCAAGCGAAGCAAAGGTGAACCATTAGTTAAATGATAAAAAACAAACTTAAATTTATTGCTGCATACTAATTTGTCTTAAATGTTGCTAACATCACATAACTTCTTAAAGGAGAAACATATACATATATATGTATGTTTATTAAAATAAGTAATTTAAAAAAAAATTTATACCATTGGAAGTATTTGAGGCAAAAAATGTACTTTTGCATTTTGCCTTCACATTTCAAGTTATATGAGTTGTAAAAATTATCTTTCTATTGACCCGAGTACATTTTTATTATATTATTTTCAGGTATTCTGGAAAGGATAGCTCAATTGAATGCTCAGAACCCAAGCATAGCGAAGACATACTTATGCAGTGCAGTGGATCACTATGCCAGTACATATGGCGATAGAGGATGGGGGTGTGGATATAGGTGAAGCATTTTAAATTCTAATTTTTCATCTTTAAAAAAAAAAAACTATCATTTCGATTTTTTTCACGGATTTATTTAGATCTTTGGTTCCCTGACGTTTCGAATGCTTTACAGCAATCATGGTCACGGGAGAGGCTAAGAAGCTAAGATTTTTTTTCTAATTTGATTTCGTTAACTGATTCAATTGGAGTGCTATATCGATCAAAATAGTACTAGATACATAATATAGTGATAAGAAATGTGCTCACCGAATGAGCGCTCACTTGAACATTTGAGCGCGCTATTAATTTAATATTTTTTTTTTGTGAAAACAACACCCAACACCATTCGCTTGTCCCAGGAACATGCACATGGTCATATCATTCGATTACCAGGAACATGCCATATCATGGTCACATGTTCATAGACCAACTAACACCAGGTGGTTGTCGCAGGAACATGCAGATGGTGCTGTCGTCGCTGGTGCGGCACGCGCCGTACGCGGCGCTGCTGGGCGGCGTGGCGGAGCGCGAGTACGACTGCGTGCCCTCCATCCCCAGCCTGCAGCTGCTGGTGGAGCGCGCCTGGCAGCTGGGCTTCGACACACAGGTACGCCTACCACTATCACTATACTTTGACGACACGTTTGGCTCAGTTTGTAGCGACCTACTTGCTGTGCCAGCGGTCGCGGCTTCGATTCCCGCTGGGGCCATTCATTTGTGTGATGAGCACGAATGTTTATACTTCAGCCATGGGTGTTTATATTTGTTATTAAATTTAATGTACTTAAAGTTAAATATACATATATGTGTAGTATATCAACTATCTGGTATCCATAACACAAGCCTCGTAGCTTACCATGGGACTAGATGGCGCTGTGTGTTAATGTCCCAACGTATTTATACTAGTCATCGATCAAAAAAGTACTAGATACACAATCCTGTGCAAAAATTCTCTTAAAACTGTCACCAATTGTGTTTAGATAATTATTCTTGATGAAATAAATGTACAACAATGTAAATTGAATTTTAAATGCAATGCTTAAAAAGTTGTTTTCACAAAAAAAAGAATTAAAATAAAAGCGCCCTTAAATATTCAAATGAGCGCTCATTCGGTGAGGATATTTTTTTGTCGCTGATTGAGTATCTAGTACTTTTTTGACCTTAATACTAGTAGAGCCCATCTCGTCAAGAGGAATTGGGCAGCGCTAATTCAGGAATGGGATTTTTTTTGCTACGATGGATAATAAATTTACTAATATATTTTTTTAAATAAAAAATACTTTTTAGGGCTCAGAGCAATTAGGCTGTAAGTTGCACAACACGCGAAAATGGATCGGCGCCTGCGAGGTCGTCACTGTACTGTCTTCATTAAGGATAAGGTATAAATTTACACATAATATTTGTTTTATTTTTGGTTTTGTAATATATTTAGTTTTAACTTACTTGTTGATATTCATGCAAATATTCGTCCTCCTTCCACCGCCAACTTCCCAACTCTGGGCTGTTACTGACAATTTCTTTACAGAAATTGATGAAATCTTAATGACTTGACTCAACCGGGACTCGTACCCAAAATCTCCGGATGTGCGGCCGTACATTCTAGCTACAAGACCATCACGGTAGCTTACAAATATATAATATAAATATACACATATACAAACATACGTATATCGATACATACATATATCCATACATACACACACACACACATACTTCAAAAATATATAATAAGGAAATCAATATACTGTATGTTTCCCAGATGTCAACTAATAGATTTCCACAAGCCGACGTCGTCGGACGGCAGCCACCCGGCGCTGTTCGACTGGGTGCTCCGGTACTTCCAGAACGACCCCAACTCCTTCAAACCACCGCTGTATTTACAACATCAAGGTTAGTTCTAACATCTATACAGATAAATACATATGAAGTGTCTGTTTGTAATGTCAAAATAACAGTTTTTTACTAAACGCATATGGAATTATATTATACGGTATTTATAAGAAAAAAAGAGAATTTTAAAATTTTTGTCTGTCTGCTTGTTCCGGCTAATCCCTGAAACGGCTGGCCTGATTTTGACGGGACTTTCACTGGCAGGTAGTTGATGTTATAAGGAGTAATATAGGCTACTTTTATTTTGTTTCCTCGCGGATTCATTTTGATTTTTGGTTCCCGTTTTGGGCTTTACAGCAATCATGGTCACGGTAAAGACATAGTGTCAAAATAGATCTGCGAAAAAATCCGAAAAGATTATTTTATTTAAAATGTCAAATATTCGCGTAAATCTAAGAAAGTATTAGTTCCAACACTAATGACATGATACTAGCACAGTATCGATACGTAAGGCAGTAGTAACCCAGTGGTAAGTAACCAGTGGCTCGCTTGGAAAACCGATTAAAGCAAGTTCAAATCCCGGGTCTCGCATCTGATATTTTTATGTGCGAATCATTTTCAACATGATTACCACTTGTCTTACGGTGAAGGAAAACATCGTGAGGAGTGGAAAATTGGAAGGAGTTATTGTAGGGAGGCCCGCGCCCAGCAGTGGGACGTTAAAAAGGGTTGAATAGATAGATAGATAGATAGATATATACATAGGAATGATGAGTTTTATCCCAAATTTCATTTAAATCGGTTCAGCGGATTAAGCGTGAAAAGTTACAGACTGACAGACATTTACTTTCGCATTTATAATATTAGTATGGATTTATTGGCCTTACCACACTAATAAAAATTTTTTCAATGACAGCAATAGGATATTATTCCTATTGCTGTCATTGAAAAAATGGCCAAGACCAAAAATTTGTCAATGGCACCAGCTGTTGCCACCAGAAATTACCATCATTAGGATAAGTTTAGTAAGACAGGCCAGAGTAAAAAGTAGGATTTTTATATTTATTTAACAGTTTATATTGTAATATTTACATTTATTTACGTAATGTCCCTATCATATTGCATTTTCTAGGTCATTCTAGAACAATAATAGGTTATGAGAAGCACAAAGATGGCAAAGCGACTTTACTCGTGTTGGACCCCTCTCATTCGCCAGCTCAAGTGAGTAATTATAATAATTATAAAGTTATTTTTCGATGCATATTTTTTATTAATTTTAAAATCAAAGGTTTTACTTCTAGACCCAATCAGTGAATGAGTTTAACTGTTTAAGATTTCTATTTAACTAATTATTAGGCAGCTGTAACAGTAGTGATACAGCGTTCGCTTGGGAAATTCTTTATGTGCACATCATTTCCAACATAATTATCACTTCTTTACAGTGAAGGAACCAACCAACCTTTACTAAAAGGTGGATGAGACCATATTCCACCAGTGTGGTGAATTATGACTTGATCCCCTTTATAAATAATAAATATGTTGAGACATTAATACACAGCACCATCTAGTTCCATTTTAAACTATGAGGCTTGTGTTATACCAGATAGTTGATATTTTACACATATATAACTTTAAATACATACATATTATAAATATAAATACCGATAACTGGAGTACAAACTTTCGTGTTTATCATATAAATGAATGCCCCCAGCGGGACTCGAACCCGCGACCGCTGGCACAGCAAATAGGGTCACTACAAACTGAGCCAAACGTGTCATCAAGAGCTTATAGGATGAATTTCGAAAAATGCTTAAAACACGTAATTATTTATTTTTATTGAAGAGTATTAATACCAAGTTTTAAGTAATTCTGTTTTTTTTTTGGATTGTATTATAACGTGTTTTCCCGTGGGAATTAGATGATTTTCCGCGGTAAAAAGTAACCTATGTCAGTATCCAGCTCTTCAACTATCTCCACACAAAAAATCACGCGAATCCGTCACTCCGTTTTGACGTGAAGGAAGGACAAACAAACAAACACACTTTCACATCTATACATATAATAAAATTCTAACTAAGTCGAATCTGTACATTAAATATTTTTTGGAAAATCTTATTGAAATAGACATTATTATCGATACAAAGGTCGAACCTATAGTTTTTAGAATTTTTGTCTGTCTGTCTGTTACCGCATCACAGAAAAGCCACTGGAGGGATTTAATGAAATTTGGTATGGCGATAGCTGGTTATCTGTGTCAACATATAGGATAATTTTTACCGCGGAAAAATATCTCAAATCTGAGAAAAAATATAAAAACTGCATTGTAAGAGTATACTAATATGTAAAACCTAAGAATTTGGTTTTTGGTCATCTGAACGCGGGCGGAGCCGCGAGCAATGCTAGTTTATAATATTAGTATGGATTATATACGATATGATAATTGTTACAGACAATGTCTACCCACAAAATTATACAATGATTTTCAAAAATACATAAATGGCAAGAAGTACCTATGTACCTACCTAATAATATTTGGTATTTTTAATTTTAAACAACTTTTATAATTTTAATAAGTTTTATAGTTGAATAATTAATATTATTTATTTATTTTAATTGTTCTTATTTTATATTAATGTGTGAGAAATATGTAGGTGATATACGACGTTTCTAATATTATTTTTAGAATCAGCACATTGCATATGATAGGAGTTAGTTAATATAATTAAAAAAAGTTTTCTCATCGTTGGTCTGTGTAATGGTATCCCCGTAGGTGCGGCAGGTGGTGTGCGGCGGCGCGGCGGCGGGCGCGGCGGCGCTGCGCCTGCTGCGGCGCGGCGCCTCCGCGCTGCGCGCCAAGCAGTACCAGCTGCTGTGCGTCAGCGGCGTCATGGCCGGCGACGCCGAGTACCAGGTACGCCGGGGGACGGGTGCGCATCGTTGCTAATTCAACGCTAAATAAGACGACTTTTACTTGAGCAGAACTAGTCATGACTATATTGACAACATTGCGGTTGCGGTCATATGCGTCAAGCAGTATGAGCTATTTTGTGCTAATAGGGCTATGACTATTGAGGTGAAATACCAGTTGGGTGGCAGTTTGTATTAGACAGTAAGGGGAGATGTTGGGTAGACTACAGAACGGGGAAGGCCTTACACATAAAGCAGTATCAACTGTGTGGCAATAGGTACTAGATAATCTAAATACCAGGGTACTAAGTAGACTAGGGGATGGATAAGGCGTTACGCGTCTAACGCCCGATTTCACCAACATCCCATAAGCTACCACCTTTTTTTATTTTTTTTATTATTATTATCGGGAAATGCATTTACGCATACCACCTGATCCTCCAGGTGGTGATGTGGGGCTCACCGGCTAGAAGAGCCGGTACTATCCACTAAAACCCGACATCTCTTCCCCCCGCCTTAGTGAAACGCCGCAGGATCGCTTGCGCATAACTACTACGGCGCCCCGGCGGCAGGTCTGCCTAAGCGCTAGGCAGACCACCAAACCAATGGGGCTGCTCCACAGTCCCATAAGCTACCACTTACGTATGGGATCCCTAGCTTAAAAGTTCCCCTATACTAGCCCATAAATTAAATTTCGTTTCACCATCTTCAAAGCAAGTATTTCTAGTACCTATATTTAGGTAGTATTTTAACATTTAGGTGACCCCTAACTGTCGGTGAAACAGAAACTGTCCCCTAACAGCCCCCTAACCATGCTTAGGGGATCCCTTAAACTTCCCCCCAACGTGCGTTCACCTTGTCGTGGTGGGGGGGCTCAGTAGTGCCCGGCAATGCAACCGGGCGCGAAGCTAAGAAACGCACAGAGAGGTTGCCTACTTCGGTGGGTGGTGGGAGGTGGTCCTCTTCGGGGGGCGGTGTACCTTGCGGGTAGCTCCTGGTACTTCTCTGATAGCAGAGTGGACCTTGGAGCAACCCCATGGTAATGTGGTGGTCTGCTTTGGCAGACCTGCCGTCGGGGCGTCGTAGTTGAATGCGCAAGCGATCCTGCGACGCCCCATTAAGACGGGGGAAGGTTTTGTTGGGTTTTAGTGGGTAGTACTGGCTGTATTACGCCGGTGAGTCCCACACGTCGTGCGTAAATGCATTTCCCAACGTTAAAAAAAAAAGCCTTAAACTTAGGTGACGTTGGTGAAATCGGCCATAATATTGCTATCTGATGTAAGTTAATGGCATTAGTTAGTAATAAATAGTCTAAGGGATGTTAAGACTCAATACTCATACTACAGCTGTTTGCTCATGGTGAATGATATGGAAATGGTAATACTCAGTACTAGCAGAATAGTCCAGGGGATGGTTGGACTAAATACCAAGTATAAGGAAATGAATGGTAGATCTGAATAACGAATAGTTTTGATGATGAAAGGTTGTGCTTGTTGGGAGATTGTAGTGTTACATACTCTGAGACTAATGTATGACAAAGTTAAAATTATAATGTAAATCCGTTAATAAACAAAGTAGCCTAGTTTTTTCTTTGTTTATTTAAAAAAATCCACAAATAGTTTGTAATATTAATTAATGTCTACAGGCTAGCAAAGTATTGCAGTCGGTGCGTATCCCTTAAGGGGTAACATGGCCTTCGATTCCTGAGAACTCTACACCCCATGACCCCTTTACTTCAATAAATACAACGTAAACCTTATACTATATGGTATAAATTAAAAAAATATTGATTATTTAAAAATAGAGATTATGTGGACAGACATTGGTAATTAATAGTGAAATTTAAAATAATTTTAAGTTGATTGTTTTCATATTGGTTAAGGCCGACGTGTCCTACTAATACTGTTGTTAGTTTTGGATTATTTTTGTTCCGTATTTAAATTTGAATTAGAAATCTAAACTTTGTAAACATTTTAAATATGTTATTGTAACTTTTTACTAGCGAAACAACAAGAGAAAACATATCTATCCCACGGGTTCCCGTGGGAAAAGATTTTTGTTCGGAGATGAAAAGTAGCCTATGTGCTATTGCAGACTATAACCTATCTCTGTGCTAAATTTCATCCAAATCCGTTCAGTCGTTCTGGCGTGATTGAGTAACAAACATCCATCCATCCAATATTAGTTGGATTGTGTAAAAAAACAAAAAAAATATTACTTTAAAATTAATATAAGAAATACGAATATAAACATAAACTTTTTGTTTAAATTCACCATGCTGAAATCTATTACATTTTTAAATTATTTGTAGGACACGATACATTTTTTTTTTGGAACCTTTTTGGTAATAAAAATATCTGACCACACTAACTCTATGATTAAATATGTTTAAAAATGAAATCTAGTCTTAGTTTATATCCATCGTCGCTGATATGATATTAATTATTATTATTACTTAAAATAAAATCGGATAAAATACTATTTTAACACATTGAAGTAATATGTTAGAAAAAATCGATTCTCATTGGCATTCAATTTACCTTAATGTCTTAAAAGACAGTGGATATTTGAATTGTTTTCAATAATTTATTTTGCAATCATGATTAAATTATAATAAAATGAAATCTCATAATATTGGATTAATCAATCTAAAATTATTTTATATAAATAATTGATAATGAAAAATTGTCATGACTGAAAGGTATAATATTGTAACTCATAATTAGAGCGATTTAGAAATGAGAAATAATTACAATACAATAAAATTCTTCAAAATTATAATTCGGAATTACAACATTGTTCCTTGTAGGTATCAGGATGTAGCGAAAAATATGCCTTATCCTTTCAGTATTAAAAAAGAAATTAAAATTTTCAACTACCCGCATATATTTTGGGGTCTCCTAATAGTTCTGTAGGCAGGTTTGTTTGTATGCGAAGTTAATTCATGTAAGTCGTCATCGACATGGTCACACTCGCTAACACTTAGATGGCCGATAGATGTCAAAACCAGATAAATGTAAACAGTTTTAATTTACAAATTTTACTTTAAGATCAAACAATTAATTTGAATATCCAAAAATAACAACTGTTTGTTTATAGTTTTAACTTTTCACTTCTGTCGGTAGTCCTCATGACTGCCTTTTTAAATTTTTTTTAATGTACTATCAGCGATGATGAAAAAATTATGTTAGCTTAGTTCACTTTAGTGTTTCTACCTCAATTTAATTTGTCAATTAAGTGTTATTTTGTCAATTTCGTTCGTGATTGTGAAATATAAATAATTTGAAATCTCTATTTACATACCAATAACCCTTATTTACAATTGATATAGAAACTTCTGGAACTTTCCCAACAAAAATGTATAAAAGATGTTATCAAGGGACAGCTGGCTAGAACATAATCTTATGCTTAAAATTAGATAAATAATAATTAGTAAATTAATATATACAGGGTGGGGGTGATAGGGTACAATAAATAAGTATGATAAGATTTTGTCTATCTGTGCTTTATTAAAAAAAAATGGCGTCATTTTCCCACAAACAACGATTATAAATGAGGTTTACATAAAAAGTTTTTATTTAAACTTAATTTATTGTATTACAAACATCCTCACCCTGTAAAATGCTTTAAGGCATCGCCTTCTAAGGTAGCTAAGACACGTATCGCTTAAGTCACAATAAAATTATTTTGCACACGATAGTTCCTAAAGGAATTGCATATAGAGTAGATAGGACGGTGTGAAAAATGGGTCACATATAAATAAAATAATATGTAGAAGTCATGATAATATAAAATGTAAATTTAAAAGTCCATTTAAATGTTAGTTTGTTACGGTTTAGTTAGTATGCAAGGGAGTTTAGAGGGTTATTGTGGGATTTCATATGATGTAGGTATACAACAATATATGTATGTTTTATTGTCTGTTTGTTTGTGTTCAAGTATATGCAAACCCCATTGTTTTTATTATTGTGCCTATTTAATTATTATAATAACATATTGATATATAGATAGGGTTGCCATAATATTCTAGGTTCAGAAAGATAAAAAAGATAAGTAATAAAATTTATAATATTATTTATTTAAACAACGTCGACTATATGTATATTTTTATAAGAACTTAGATAAACTAAATGTTATTGTTTTTTTCATTAAATTTATTTATATTTATTCTAACATTCTAGTTGTTAGCATCTTAAACTGATTTAATGATCTAAGATTGATAAACTTATCAGGATACTAGCGAATCACCCTCGCTTTGCTCGGGTTCGTCCCTAGGCTGCTTCCCTATACAAAATTTTACCTCCATTTTCACCCCCTTCAGAGGAGATTTCTGGGATAAAAACTATCCTATGTTTTTCCCGGTTCTCAAACTATCTTCTTACCAAATTTCTATTCGAATCTATTCGATACAAACAAGCAAAAAAACAAATTTTTCCTCTTTATAATATTAGTCACCAGTACATTTACTGGTGACTCATATTATAAAGAGGAAAATTTTGTATATTAGTATTGTATTGTCAATCATGAATTCAGTGTTTACATAATAAAAATTAACTTTATTTTTAATTATGTCAACACTAAGTTACGATATTTTTCCTTGCAAATACCAAATGCTTATCATCCCTCAATAACTCCATCTAAATTAACATCCTGTATAAATATATAGAGTGCTTTAGAAACCAATTCAAGAAATAGTTATGTCGCAGGCAAATTGTATAATTCGTCATTATATAAAAAGATCTGTCTTTGCAAACGCTTGCCAGTTTGAAAAACGCCTAAGGCAAATTGTAAAATACGGCGCCGTTTGTAAAAATTCGAATTATATAATATGCCTGAAACATTTACAACACTATTTACATGTGGCCCATTGAATAATATTGGAAAGGGTTGGATCGGAACAAGTTATGGTGCCTGAAATAATTTCATTTAATGAAGTGGCTTAATTCAAAAATTTGATGATGATAATAAAAATATGAAAGTCGAAATTTATCTGTTATAAAAGTTTTATATTTAAAATGTTTTCTTTTATTGTGGATTAAATTAAATGTAAGGAAAAATCATATTTATAATTAAATATTGATATAATACGTGGGTAAAAAATTTTGAACAAGTATTAATTATTAAACGGGGAATACCCGATGATTGTCTATGACAAGAAGCTTCAAAAATATTATTCAATTATATGAATTTGAATTATCTATGTAATGTGCATATAAAACTGTGGTGTTTTTTGGATTGCTTGTCTCGATGTTTGTGTAATATAATAATGACATTTATTTCTAGATCGTCAACGCAAAAATGGCCTAACCCATATATTTTTTTTTTAAGTTTGTCATGATGTTTTTTTAGAATGTCAGAATTTGTTAGAATGTCATGTGTTTTTTTTAAATTACTTAATATGTTAAACATTTATTCACTTATTTATTTAAAAAAAAATAATTTTTTTTTATGGTCAGACGGTTTTTGCGTTTACATCGGCATTTGTCTGTGTGTACGTTTTATTTCTAATATAGTTGATACAACTATAAAATGCAAGTGAGACGCGTGACTTTAATACTTATTTGAATGTATTATATTATGTAATTTCTTCGAGGTTATTATTAATATTGTAAAAATAAAATGTATACATTTTTGCTTCAAACGTACCTTTATCATACATATATCTTATGTGTATTGTAATTCGATGGGCGATTATGAACTTAATCGATTTTGTATTACAATTAAAATTTAAAAATCTTAAATTATGTTTACAACACAAAATAGATGTACGTCTTCTACGTTGCAAAATTCGTAAAATAATTAAACATATCCATGTGAAAAAAATCGATTATACAATAAAAATCGATAATACAATCGTAATCGCCCATCACTTTAATTGTTAATGTCAATTATTCGACAAATTTAAGTATATTATGCTCTTTTTTCGTTGTTAATTGTTGTGTAATTCTAGTGAAATCGACCAATCGTTGTTTCTCTCATATTATTCCAATTGTTTCTAGTCTACGTGTTTACGATGTTACGGGTATGAGGTTTGAGTCCATTATTGTTCCATCTCGGTTCGATTTGATCCACTTCCTTAAGGTAACTCCACACGTGACGACAAGCCAGTACAACGGTGTTTGACAGTCTGTAAGAACATTTTGTGCATAATACTTTCTTAGATTTAATCGAATATTTAACATTTTAAATAAAACTACCTTCGGATTTTTTCGCGAATTTATTTGATTTTTGGTTCCAGATATTTTGAATGTTCTACAGCAATCATGGTCACGGGATAAACTCTCCAAAGAAATAGATCCCCGAAAAAATCCGAAAAGTTAGTTTTATTAAAATGTTAAATATTCGCTTAAATCTAAGAAAGTATTATGCACAAAATGTTTGTGCAAATATCTTATATACAAGCACGAAATTGTTAGGCACTTTACAGACGGTCAGGTGCGATTACGTAGAAATGCTTTTGCGTATGGAGTTAAGTGTAGGCACCTACAAAGTTATTATCAAGTCATATGTTAGGTTTAAATATTATTTATTAACAATAGAAATTCGTGATTTTTAAAAAAAATCCCTATAACCCCCTTTTTTTAGTTGATTTTTTTTTTCCATTTCTCTTTTTTTATACTCATTATGTTGTTTAAAGTACTAATATGTTTATTGCTCATTGAGATTTGTTAGAATAAA